GGTGGCTAATGCAAACAAACATGGGATTATGAGATCGAGCAGTCTGGGCGAAATTGATGATGAGGCTCGCTCCCTGCCTGACCCGTAACAAGTAGCTGGCGAAATGCTAACGAATTGGGTCTCTACGTGTTGCCACAGCAACGCACCGATCGATCTATTGGCCAGATCGTGCAGATAGCATTTTATTTGCTCCGCCGCAAATTGTGCTGAACTTAGGGCTGAACTCTAATGCATTGGATAGACACAAATGCATTAAAACTGGTGCATTCCGGTCATGTGCATTGCGTTTTGCGAATCGATTGGCCACGCTCCAAAGCCAAGCATGTTGCTTTCCAGTTGCACGAAGTTATTATTCCACCTTCAACAATTCGGCTCCCGTTTTCGGAACTGCCGTTCCTTCATCATCAGTGCATAGCCCTGTGCAAATTTTTCATGGGAATTACATACGTGATAGATTGTTTTATTCTGAACTGCAGCCATCTAAGCCCCCACCAGCTGTGGAGCTGTGTTGATTGGTTTTCTTGCATTGCCAGTGATTGCCATGCTCTTCATCGTCATCATATGGGACGTGACTGCGTTAAGATTGCCGTGAACACCCAAACGTGAATGCATCGGAGAAGTACGCATGGAAATGAGTTGGTCTCAGTTTTCTAAGTATAAGTGTAATTGCCTTTCTGGCTCTCATACTTAATATGTGGAGGCTTCAGTGCAAGTCTTACAGCTCAAAAGTTCAGTCGCCTTTTATTCGTGTTCAAGTAAGATGTGGCCACGGAGATGACTTTGGAAAATGAATGTGCTCCCATTAAATAGTCGATGGTCATCAAGATAACAAGCTGCAGGAAGAGTTGCATCGGGCGCCCCCAATGTGAACATGACCCCGACTAGAGGCTCAACAGGTGGTATCGAAACCCGTCGTCTGTTCTCCTATTCAGCCGGCTAACACAAGCCATTTTTTCAGCCCACATGTTAGCACATTCGGCAAATTGTGGAACATGGTAACTAAAAATACTGAAATATTTCTCTCGGAAGCTCTTATAGGTAAAGAAACTGCCTTTTTATTCGACTATATCCGATATCCAAATTGGTCCGAGGACCAAAGGGAAGAAAACTGATTGTCTCGGGTAATAGAGTCGTGATCAATGACCACGAAGCTCTTAGCACATGAGCGATAGTCGGTAAAGTCCATCTCGTGATTCTGGCAGGACCCTGACCACCTAGAAATGTTGGATTTCGGGCCCCCTCCGCCGGCTTGTTGTTGTTCAATTAAAGTATACGCCAATAAATTGTATGCAGTAAGTCGTTTAATCTAAATTAAGCGCCAGGTTTTGTTCCTCAAAGGATAACCGCTCGAGCGGCAATCTCTATCAACTGCATCATGTGTCATAAGCAAGTTGTAAGGCGCCGACAAGAGTTCAGGTTCATCCAGGGATGAGCGCGTGACACAGCGTTGGAGTACGTAGACCCCCGAAATATCTAAAGTCGTGTTCTTCCCAGAAGATTTGCATTTCACTTCGGATCACGCGGCCATCGATAGCCGACAACGGAGTTTCCAGCGCAGACGCAGATTCAGTTGTAGATGAAGTCTGAGTTGCAGTTCTCCGATTTTCATGAACGACACCACTGAGCAAAGGCATTGACTGGCGCCCGCCTCCTAGTGGCAAAGATTTTGTCTACAAAGCGTAAGCAATTTTTATGCTCATGTTGCTCGTAATCACCGCGAGCCGCAGGTGGTAAAAGGCGTCGTGGATAACCTCAACCCGTCCACGTCTGGGGCAGGGCCGGGGCAGACAACCGAGCGCATCCCCCCAGAGCGGCGCTTCGCTGATTAAATTGCACTAATTGCGAATTAAAGCTCAGCAGTTTGAAGGGAGCAAATTGCATGGGTCTCAAAATTGAATTGTGGAATCTATGCAATCCTTACTCAAATCTGCCCCCGCGCACCCACTCCAGGTGTAACCCTCGGCAGCTACTAATGAACGCTGCCCACTCCCATGGCAGCTTGTTTGGCTTTTATTTCGCTTAATTAATTGGCACCGCCAAATGTCTAGAGTTTACAAAAAACGTCCACGACTGTTGCTGGAAAGGCAAGGCAAGGCAAGGCAAGGCAAGGGAGCTATTTTGAGCTGAGCTGTCAGCAGGCAATGTGGCGGTCCCTCGTTTTTGGCTGCAGCTCCAAAAGGCAACAAGAAGCCGAAAGTCAAGTGTCCTCAGAGAATATGTGGCTGCATATTGCAATTCTTTCATTTTTCGGCAGTTTCTGCCAAAAAAAAGAAAAAACTAATTTTGTTCTTCCGGCTTGTTGTTTCATATTTTTATTTTTAGATATACGGCATGAAGTGGTTTGCACGGTGAGGGTAGATGGGAGAAAAGGCCCTTTTACATGTTGCTCATGCAAAAGGGTTAATTATAACCCCCAAATTATTGCAAACGAAGGATGCTTCAAAAGAAGTTCAAGGGGATATATAAAAACAAAACACAAAAGAAAACAAATACGAACAATATGCATTCAGGCTTAAATCTTGCACAACCACAAGACATGTTTTGTTTCTCATTGACCTTAAAGTCTTAAGTCTTATTTGTATAAAATAACGTACATTTTAAATATTTTCTTTGCTAGTGGTCAGACCTGATAGAGTTAAAGAAAACTTCTTTGAAAAGGAGTTCAATTTATTTAAATTCATGAGTATCTTTCAGTTGAAAATAATTTTTCCAAAGCGTATGCACAAAAGAAGGGTTGCTTTGGAGTTTAAGTAAAAAAATTAAAAAATATAATGTTTCCTTTTACTGTGCTCACGGGCAGGTAAAAAATCCCAAGTATGAAAAGTACCACGAACAGAATAGACTTTTCCCTAATTGGCCGTTCCAAGCTCACTAGTGCTCCTGGTCCATAATTAACGAAACAAAGCAATGCCAAAAATATAAAAGGTAAAACATTGAAAAAACATTCTTCCTATGGAGGTTCTCGCATTAACAGACGAAAGGAGAAAGGCACAGACAAATGAGTAAAATAAAATTAATAAAGGATTTAAAAAGCATTAGGGCTTGTACGAAGGTGAAGGTATAGACGTATACTGCTTCGTACATATACATGTTATACTGATACTTGCCGCTCAAAAGATCGAATACTTTAAAAAAAAGCTTCAACATTTCCCTTTGGGACCCGTAGTTACATCATTAGATACTTGATTTTTTATTAAAGTAAATTTTATTTTTACCTTTTTCTAGATGGTAAACTAAAGAAGCACTCGCACATGGGGTTTGCACTTCTCCACATAATTCACATATCCCATAATTTTTCATTGAGTTTTGGGTCAATCTGGCGCCATGTACAGCTACACAAATCATATTTGGCTCCTTTCATTTTTTAATCATGCATGAATAGCTTATTCGGGATCTGGCTCAGACCGGACCAGCAACGATTTTCCAATTTTCACATGCGAATTATCTGGTTGACTCCCCCTGCATCTGTTACGCTCTGCTCCCTACGCGAACTTCTAGCCGAAACATTATCCGTGGCCGCAGTGAGCAGATACGAAATTTGAGTGATTGATAGCATGTTATGAGTTAACATGCTATTATTAGGCCGCAAGATGCTACCAAACAATAGCAACAGTGGATAAAAGGAGCCAGCTCCAACCAAATGTTTGCTCACGACTTTTAGAGGAGGCTCTCAGGGCTTTTTTGACATATTTGCCAAAAGTGGAAAATTGAGCAAGAGAAATTGACTTCACATGATTTACGTGCAGATTTTTCCAACTGCATGTAATGTTGATTGTTCTCCTACCGATGCTGTTCGGTGTGGCCGTTTTGAGAATCACAAATCAATTTTCGATTGTACCTCAAGAGATAATCGCATGGTAGTGCCTTGTGCTTGTTAGCCAATTTCAGAGGCCGCCCGTCAGTCGCGCACTGGTATATTGAACGAGATTAAAAAAATCTAGTCTCAATAGCTTTTTGACATTAAAAAGGTTATAGAAATGATGACAAAAATCTGCACAGTCATTCGGCAAACCAGTTTGCATGCAAATAAGATATATTGGGTGTGTAAGCCACTTGTCAATTGCTTAGAAAATATCTTTGGGCAATGAAAGTGTGTCATTTCGCTTGATCCATTTCAGCATGTTCCAGTTTGAAGAGCCTCTTCCCGCCAATGACTCCTAACGAATAAGTCGTTAGAGCTCTTCCCCTAGCACTGAACGCCTCGGGCATGCAAAGAGATTCCAAAAAGTGCAATAGCCCCAGTAGACACGTCGGATCAAAACACCTTTTAAGGCGATAACTCAATTTAAAGTTTATAAATTTCCAGGCCGAGCGCCGCCTTAACGAGTAGTACATTAAAAAGTGAGAGTCTAGCGTCTACCTCCAAGCAAAAGTTAAAGATGATCTGAGAGAAATTATAACAGAGTTCCCACAATTCGGCAAAGCTGTTGAGATAACTATGCATAAAATACTGGTTTTCGCCTCGGCTGAGGTTGTAATAAGATACTAAGGAGTTGACAAACCGAAGCTCTTATGCCCTGCATGTTGGCTCTTAACATGCAAACTTTTCTTGTAGTCTCACAAGTTCCTTATAATACAGTCACATCTAAAATATATACATGTATATTGATAACATCATGCGATCCCACGCCTATCAACAAGGCAATGGTCCCCTTCCTAGGGTGAACAAAAATGTCTTTTTAAAGAGACTTTAAGGCAGCCGACATTGACGTAGTCATACTTGTCATCGTCGTCTGGGGCCCGTCGCGCGGTTGGAGCTGCTGGAGCTGCGGAGCGGTAAAGCTGTCGATGGCCAATACTCGATCGCTCGCTGTCTGCTGGCCCACTCGCTTAGCATGCGCATGCGCTACCGTTTTCTTGGTCAGTTGTATTTTGGCCATTAGCACGTACGGAGCTGCGCCCGCGCCTTGAGTCCGCGCCAAGTGTGAAAAACATATAAATGCGTCGAGTTAGCGCAACTTAACTTTATAGAAACTAAAATTGAAGTTGTTTTTAACACACTTTCGTCGCTTGTTGCACGAAAGCGAAAGTTGCGTGTGCGAGTAGAGTTTAATGCTTGTTGTTTACAATCTCCCAAATCCGAATCCAAATAAAGAAGCAAACACAGAGGTAGTCGCAGACTCCAACAACGAAATATATTAATAATTTAAAGATAATCCAACGACAAAAGCGTGCGAAGTCACAGACCACAAAGCTGGTCAATAACAACCTTCATTTCAATTACGTTTCCTGAACCGATCTTCGTGCCAAGATGCCAGCAGCCAGCTCACATCCACGACTCTTCTTCTATATACTCTGTGCTGCCTCTCTCTTGGCAGTCTCCAAGTCGGATACCGGTAGTACAAAGAACTCTTATTTTATGTCTTACTTCTACTACTTAGTTATTAACTTTGTTAATCCCTTCGCCATGCCGATATTTTATCGCTTTGTAAAGGTTTGCCTAACGTAAAAAGCTGTACAGAGTATCAAATAGTTTGTTGTTTCCCTGATGTCGAATTTTCAAAAGTAGCTCTCTAAGAGCCCGTAAATGTATGCGATATAAGCTTGTACATATTTACATATATATATTATATTATATTAGAGCATTAGATAATGGATTGTGGAAGAGAAATATATTCCAAGAATACAGATCAAGATCTTGTCCTGAAAGGAATTTGTGATACTCGATAAGAGGTACTTCGTTAAGCTGTATAATAAAAACAATTACCTTGTATATTAATGCGTGATGGTGTTTTATTTATCTTATTTTGTATATTTTTTGTTAAACTTACTACAAAACCCCTTTGCTCTGAGAATTACAATTGAACTAATTTTGACGGTGAAAAAAACTATGGTGTTTTTTTAATATTTAAGTTATTGAAATGATTGTTTATTGTTAACTTTCCAAGAAATCTGGGAAAAATTCAAGAAATTTAATAAGAAATTTTACCGGTAAACTTGATGAAAGCTCGTACAATTTAATATTGTAAAATAATCACAAATTGCAGGCGGAGACGTGCCGCCAATTCAATGTCATCTTGCAATAATAGACCCAATAACACGACCTTTTGAAGCCCATGAAACCAAACCTCTGTCTTACAGAGGCATTCCTCGTTCCCGGTATATCCAATTACTATATATTTGATGTGCCGTACTTCTAACCCCGTAGTGTACCATATGCAACTTATATGGAGAGACTTCCAAGCCGATACCGATATTATTCGTTTTCTCTCTGCTCTCCACGTCCGCTGTCCATGATCTTGACCACCTATCTCTTATTATGCCCAACTCGTTTAGACCGCTCCGACGGTTTCATTGACATCAAAATTCGCTCCTATCTTCGAGTCTCACAACTTGTTTGTGCACCCAAGGTTAATAGTTGAAACTGTTAGACGCTCGCTGTGACTTGGCTCGCCGGCTACGTCAGTTGGCTGATGCGGAACTGATTAACATAATACACGGAAGTTCGGCGTGTATGATTTGGCAAGTTTGTTTGTTTATATTTTTGTTACTTTTCGTTCGCTTTTTTAATGCATTAAAATACTTGTGCTACTAATCTCGATTTAAAACGGAAGGAAGTTTTTGGTGAAAGAATTGTATATATATTACCTTATTTTTGCTGGAAGATTTTGGTGAAAGAGTGTAAATATTTATTATTATGTTACTAAGGGAACATATGTGTCTACTACTAAAAAACAACAAAGCCGATGTATTGTTCCCTGTAGTAAGCTCAACTGCTAATTGATGTGATTCCCTCATAGTGCCAATGCAACCGCCAAGCGAAGACTTGGCATATGATGCTGCTTTGCAGCTTGGATTACTTAATCACCGGCTTAATTTACTCGCGCATGAGGAGGAATCTAGGCAACTTAGTTTGCCCAACATAACACTAAGCAACCTGGTTAATCGCATTCCCTGTACTTGTGACACTGGACTGTGCAAGTGCTGTGCTGGTGAGTTCGCTAACTGTGGATATATAGTTCTATTACTTATGTGATCGAGATCACAATGTCTGCTCTTAGGCTTCCTTTCGGTAATAGGAATGAACAGCTGCACAGAAGTCGCCTATCGTCCTGACGAGTTTTCCTTCGAGTTGCGTATGCGAGTCAATAACAATATTTGGTTCCGCCGGAAGGTGTCCGGCCAAAATCCGCCTCCGTTCTGCTTCAGGCCGCCACGCTTTAACTTTGCCAGGGCCTGCATACAGTTCCATGACATTTGGTTTGTGGGTCGCAATATGCATGTGTGCATGTTCATGTCGGGGGAGTTTCAGGGATTCGAGTTGTTTGAGAGGCAAGTACTGAGATAATGTGGGACTAGGGGTTAATTATCACTTCTACCCGCTTGCAGAAACTTTGATTGCCTTTTGTTTGGTGATCACGGCGTCAAGATCGTTCCCCCAGAGCAAGGATATCCCACCAGGCCGAATGACGTAGACATTGACGATGGAGACGACGAGATTGAGGACTACGATGAGAACGTAGTCCGCAGCTTAGCAGAAAAGATGATGGGTTAACCCCTTGAGACTAACTTATTTATTTCCCTCTTCTATAAATACACAATTTAACTTAAGTAAAGTCACTTTTGGTGGTTTTCAAGGCAAAGCTCGTTTAACTTGTCCAACTCAGAAAGTGGGAGGTAATAGCCGGCCACTTCCAACGTTTCCTTGTTCCAAAGTTCAAGTGCGAAAACTGCAAAAATGACGTATTGCATCCCTCTAGTCCTATACCTTGCCCGTCCATGGCACTTGCAGCCAGCCCATTCAAATGCGAATTCAGGGGAGAATCAAAACAACCGACGATTTGTAAAGGATAATGCAACCTGGGGCTGCGCCTGCACCGCATGTGCAACACCTCGAGGAGGGGACAGGGGCCTTGCGGACGAGGACGGGGCAGGACCTTTATTCTGCATTGAAATGCATATGCACAAGCACGTTGACTGTTGCACTTCGTTTGACTCGCAGTTGACTGTAATAAAGGACTTTTAGGCTGCAAGGATGCAATCCGCACAGGCAGCTGCAGCAACAGGACAGCAACCGACAGGCCCGGAGGAGGGTAGGAGTGGAGTATTATTTCGCACTTGACTCCTGAATGCGAGTCGAGCTGCAGTCAGCAGTCAAGTGGTGTGCAATAAAAGCGTGTGTTCCCTCACGGCTTTTAAAAACTTATGGGCTGCTGAATTCAGGTGCTGTTATAATAAAAACAAAGAGGTTTCGAGTAGGACAGGGAGATAAACAACGTACTTGTGGTACAATATTGGGTCTGTTTATTATAAGCTTCACACTAATTAGCTGTATAATAATTAGCTTCAACGTGTCTTCAAATAACCAGTCTATAAATCAATTTAAAACACATTTAAATAACAAAAAACATAAAGAGGTGTGAACCGTAAGCTGACCATAAAGCCCTTCCAGGGGAATGGGTCTCATTTAAAATTCAAATGTGAGTGAGGGCTCGTAAAATGCATTTAGCGTCGGTAATTGATTTGTTTACACAGCACACACGCGACAGTCGCACATGAAAGCTGACCATCCCATTGACCATACCAGGGCACAAGGTCCAGCACGGGTTGATTTGACTCACAGGGGAAGTTGACCAGAGGGGAGGGGCGCGTCCACTGTCCAGGACGACCCTCTTTGTTTGCCGTTGATTGTCCGTTGCCCGGAGCAACAGATAGAGACTCAAATCACTTAGGGCACTGGTCAGTTGATGCGATTTTCCATGATACCACCTTTTCTCGGTGTTTGTTGTCCATTCCCCGGGGCCAATTATGTTATTTCCGGTTTCATGTGGTCAACGGGCAGGAAAAATATTTATATCACGGTCAAGTGGTTAGATCCGTGGCAAAATGCACCCCAGGCAGTAAACCGGATTGAATGTCGCTCTTAAATCTGATTAAGCAATAAAAATAGATACATACATGTAAGTGAATAGGAAATTTTTTGAAACGCACTTTGTGGACTGATGCAAGACATTTGTTGCATGTTCCAGTATTTCTCTATGCGCAGTTGAATTGTATTTCTTTCTTGTATTAAGTACTTTTAAACCAGACTTTGCTAGAAAAAAATTAGAAGCGGAATTTAAAAACTACCCCCAAAAGTAATTAAAACACTCTGTCGTTTGCTCCAGACGAAGACGGTGGCTGCCTCCACCTAGCAACGAATGTTAATCAAAAGGAATATAGAAAAATACGAGAAGACAGCATGGACAGAGACCCTGTCCTTGGGGCTTAATTTCTTTTACATTTTTACATTTAGCTTAGAGCAAATGTGGCAAGGAAATAAAAAGCTTTCGACTGCAGAAAGGCAGTGTTCAAATCATCATCGCACACCAAACCTTAAAACATTAGCATTTTAATTTGCAATATTGATACAGTCGCACGTTTCGGAAAGGGAATACTATAGGTTTAAACTAAGTCGTATATACTACACTAACCAAGATTAAATATTCAATTGGCACGGGTACTAAACCGATGACTTGACGGACATATTTCAGAATTAAAATAAAGTGTTTTCTACTGAACCTGATAAAGTTTATGCCACATATTTTCCTTATGATAAATTTTAATAATTTTTCATTAAATAACATTGGCAAATCTAGTCTCGCTAAGCTTGGGGTATACTCACCATAATGTAGAATAAATACGCACAGGACCAAAGCCAATACAACGATAAAACACAAGCACAGATACATACATAAAAGTCTACATAAACGCGATTTTCATGCGTGATGAGCGGGAAATTTCCCCTCTTTGGCTTGTACATAAGCAACTACATGAGCAAACACGAAAAGTCTTCCAATTTTCGGGGTGGTAATGATTCCAAAGGGTTAAAATCTGAGCCTACTCGACTCGAGAAGCGAAACATGCGTGAGCTGTCTATGTGTGTGTGCCCGCGAAAACGGCGTTGCCAGCCTGTCGGCGGAATTACTTAGGAAGCCAAGGAAGAAGGCAACAATGCGAAGACTAAACAAAGTCATTTACATAACTAACGAAGTGGGTGAACAAAGCGCCAAGAGGCTGGGGTGGAAAGCCAATGTCACGTGGATGGGGAAGCTTGCTATATGAAAAAGAAAGGAGGTGGACGTGGTGGCGCGTGTTGGCAGTTTGCGTGGTCGAAAATTAAAATGGCCACCGATGCGCATCTAAAATTCTATGTATCAAATTTACTCTAACTCATAGTGTATTCTGGCTGCTTCCTATTGCCTCTTTGCTACTATAAAGTGTTTTAAATATAAATTTATATACTCTAGCCAATTGATTTTTAGGTATTTGACATTCTATCATTGGGTTTTGTATGCACAAAAAAGGATAACTTTATTGATTTTTGACTGCGACCGCTGGCTGGACAATTCTTCTTTATAGGACCGTTCTGATTACAGTCTCAAACATTGTGCTGAAGGCTTGACTCGCAATTGGGAGATTTTAGCGACCATATCCTATGTAGCCATCACCAATAGGTGAGCTCCAGCTAACTCCGGACCCTGGAAGACGAACGCCTACTGGAACACTAACTCGGGGTCCCAAGCCAATTAACTGTAGTAGGGCATCGATATTGCCGAGAGCAAAGTCAGTCAGCAAAGCCAATACAATAGCCAGGACCTGTGGGATAAACTTGTATATTACTGTATGCAACCCTGTTGGAAAGCTTCTTACCAAAATGCGAATCATTGTGCAAGATTTAGTCAACTGCCTTAGTTAAAGGTTTGTTCTAAAATATTAGAAACTGTGGAATTATCCGACCTTATATAGCGTTGAATGCTCCTTATACACATGGTAATTAGGTCATAAAGCTGTACATATTCATTGTAGCTGTGGTTGCACAGGGTTAATTTGATAATTTCACAGGAATAAATTTACATAAATTATATTAGTATTTTTATATCTATATTTATATACTTATTATAAGTGGAAAGTCCCAAATCCAAAGGGTTTAATAAATATTTGGCCTTTTTGATTCTTCTTCAAGAAAATATTTGCATGTTGATGACTTTTTCTAGATCTTAAATTGGTTGCCCCATATGTACTGATCTATCTATATTTATTTTTACTTTCCTCTTCGACTTGCAAGTAGATTAGGATACGTTTAATGTTGCTAACAACCTAGTTTTTTAGTTCTACAGATAAAAATATATTTAAAATAAGGGCTAAAAAAGTAATTTTTTTTTTTAAGTTTAAACTAACAATAAACGTTTAAAAGTACGAGGAAAGAAACATGGTAATTTGTTTTTCTGTAAAGAGGGATACACTTTTATTTATAAAATGTGTCCAATATTTGTACAAACGTAGCATTTAAGCTTAATCAAGAGTTCATGCAATCAAAAAGCACTTTGATCAGAAATTATATACATATGTATATGAACATACTATTTCTTTACGAGCTCAGATGATTTTCCTCGAGATATATATAATTTTTAATTTTTAATACTTCATATATTCTTTTATTTTCCATTTTTTTTTTTTTTTTTAATTGATAGTGAAAGATAATTATCTTTTAATTCTGATTACCCCTCCATTATATAAGTTTACACGTTAAAATTTAGATTTCTTTTTTATGTCCTTGGGGAGAGTATATTTAAAAATTTACATACAAATCCATTATACATGAATCAGCCTAGCCCAAGTGCATATGTCTTAAGTCGTCTAAATCAGCGACCAACGTTAAATCCATACGAAAATCCTGGTGTAACCACAGGAACATCAAACCGCATACTGGGTCTACCGAAAATAAGATCCATCAGATGACCAATATCGCCAAGGACACTACCAGTTAGCAACGTCAACGTGAGCACAAGCATCTGTAAAGTAAAAACTTAAATTTTGGTATGAGACTTAAATAAAATAATCTATTCTCACCAGTATGCGCATCATTTTTTTGTTTTAGATTTCAGAATTGTATCTTCGTTAAAGGTTATCTCACGAATGACGGCAAAAAAATTAAAGCGATGCTATATAAAAGATCTGTAAAACATTTAAATGCAAATTCAAAATATGTTAAAATAAATCGTTAACATTTATGGGGTTTCTTTTCAGAAACCTGACACAAGGTTAATAGAATTTTTTCACGATAATAAAACCTTGTCTAATTTTCCAAATTATAAGTCACATTTTCAGACATTTTCCTTAAACTATTGTATCTAAAGATGTGCCCAAGCGATTAAGGTATCTTATTTCTTTTGTACTAATAGATTTAAAAGTAGGTTGAAAAACTGGATAGTTTTTGAAAATTATAAATTAATAATAAAATGTTTAAAAGTACATCTTTCTAGACATGTAAAAAATAACATTTCTTCAAAATTTTACATGGTTAAAATTATCAAAAATTGGGAAAAATTGTAAATTGTTTACATATTAAATGAAGTATGCAGATTTGTACGCTTATCAAATACTTGTAACAAATGACTGCTTAAAATTGTTGCTCTTTTGGCTTAAATATAGTTTTTTTAATCTTTGATTTGTTGAACAAATTGTCATATAAATATGTAATAATAGCGACTAAGAACTGTATTATATGTATTTATGTATTTATGCAGATTTATAC